GGAGTGAAATTCTGCATGGAGTATGTACAGATGGGAAGTGTATTTCTACTTCAACTGCTTGAATAGATCAGCGAAGAAAAAGAAGAACTTTTTATATGTGCATATATATTTAGGCTTACATTTCTATACTATTGATTGTTACACACTCATAATAGAATAGAATAATGCACACGCTCTCTAGGTTTCACCTATTTCGTATCCGTATTATGCAGATCATTTAAGGAAGAGAATTTATGGGTGTCAACTTCTTTATTATGAAGAACACAATGTTTTGGAGTATATGCTTACTCCTTCGAAATGTTGTGTTCTTCATAATAAAGAAGTTGACATCCATAAATTCTCTTCCTCAAATCACTTCTAAATGCCTTTCAAAGACTAGATTTATCATTTTGTTTCATAACAGCAGTAAGGTAATGGTAGCCTTAATATTTATCAGGCTGGATTATGCTTAAAGTTCCTAAACATTAAACAGAAATAAGAACACGAATTGAGTAGTTGTATCAAGTATTGTGTTGTCAGGTGTAAATAAGTAGTGCATCAATACAATGGTGAAACATGACAACTCCTGTGCGAACGAACAATAATTTGTACATGATGTCACCGGTCTATGGGTAGGTCGCTCGGGCCCCATGGAACCTGGAATCCCAACCGGGCTGATACTGTAATCTCATCATCATGATGTTACACACCCAAACCAACAATCTCACAATATTGCCATGACGTAGATGTACGATATCCATTATTCTAATGGGTCACTAACCTAACGTTTAATGTTTTGACACTATTTACATTGATGGTCAATGACATGACATGAATATAATGTGTTGCCACTGACATTAAATATTGGTTACGAGATTAGATAACAAGGAGTTCTTTCAAATAAGCAACAATTCACCTCCATCCTAGCGAACCTCACTAACACAAGTATGTGCATTGTTACTGAAACAAGAAATTATTTTCTATCACTGTGAATGTGACTCAAATACATGCATCTAGAAATGGGATATTGTAGGGCAGAAACATATACTAAAGAGGGCACTGTGAATGTTAGACTATTTATAGCTAACCGGGTGAACTAGAAAATCTGCTTGAGCTTGTTGTTAAACAGTTTCATTTAACATCAGTTTAAATCAGTTATTATTCACATGATTTGGACCAGTGTAACTTGTGATGTAATGTATCTTATGTATTGTGACTCGGGTTGTAAATCTATGTGTTGTATTGCAGAGGTAGAAACTAATATCTTCAGTCCACTAGTCCTTATAATGATAACATAGTAAAACCCTTAAAAATGGCAAATTGTTACTAGTCATTAGGATATCTTAACTATTGGGCAGTTTGGCAAGGACTACAAGTCAACCTGGTTGTCCTGGAAGCTGGTTCTTCGCTATAATCCCAGCAAAGGCCCAGAACAACCTATCCATTTTCTAACTGTTCGAACTGGACTCTGTTAACATCCAGAGCATGGACCTCACTAACATATGCAGCAGATGCAACGCCAGTAAAAAGTGAATCAAAGTGATCAACTCAAACTCTTTATCAACAAGTGGTTCATATTCAGCCGAAGTCAAATGACAATAAGTAAAGCACGCCAAATGGCTCGCCATAGCTCCTTCTGTACTGACTACAACATAAGCAGGTTTGTTATAACCCAGAGAAAAATCCTGACGCGCTACGCAAACATCCCTGCGCCGGGCATTAAAAACTGTATCCTTTCCTAGACTGGTATCCTCTCCTATCTAGCCACACAAGGCTTGTAGTGCAGCGATGATAGCAAGCCCTACACAGCAGGCAAACTAGTCTATGTTCTTGCCTCACACTTGGTGAAATACTCGAAACACCTCCCTCACGTGACAAACTGAAAAAACTGTATTGCAGATGTACAAAAATGGTGTCCTGAGTTCCGAAGAAATAACGGTGTACGTGCAGCCAGTTCCCTGTAGAATGTATGACGTGACTGGTGTCTTAGCAAGTTGATCAGGGGATATCTGATGCATGTAAATAAGTCGAAATATCAAATCTGTCGATCACACTAATAAAAATGTGGTGCAAGAATGAACGATGATGAGTGAGTCCGGTATATACCATGAAATAGGTAAGGGAGGGAGAAGCCAATATAGACTGTCATACAGTCTCCAAACCAACAAAATTACTCCCATCCAGATGATGCGTAAGGGAAAGAGTGAGTGAGTGACTGTGGTGAATCGTTGATTTTAGCAAAACTCCCAATAAGATCACGTTGATTCTTCTATAAGCATCAATGCAAGAGAATAACCAGTCTTGCACATAAAGGTTGATGGGTGGTCAGCTGAACAAAGGATGACTGTAGAAGGAGATCGTGTTTTCTCATGCACCCAGGCAGTGGTTATCGAAGAGGCGGGAAAAGTTGGCTGCGAAGAATGAAGTGATGATGGCAACACCAAGGAGAAGGGTGTCAGTGTCACTGCCCTTGATGATCAACATACCAGCCGGAGCAGGATCAACATCCAGAGGAACAGGAACGGCTGAACGAAGAGGAACGGTGTGTAAAGGAAGCAGCACGGAAATTGTATTGGCAAAAGGAGGTACTACCGGTAGCTGGGAACAATTCTGGAGGGCAGAGGTCACTGGCAGGAATGATTCTAGGTTCGGTGCCAGACCATTAGCCCTGTCTCGAAATGGAGTTGATCGTGAGCATCTCGGAGAACGGTGATCCACACAAGCATCTGACGGAGAAAAACATCGACGAGAAGGAGCAGGACGTCGAGGCACTTACTCTAATGATGATCAAAGGGTTGTTCCCTATGCGGAGAGCGGTATAATCAGTGCGGGAGAGAAAGTTAGGATTTGACGGAGCATAAGGATAACCATGCCAAGGGTGGTCTGCATAATTGCTTTACGAATGGAGATCCCAAGTGCGCAAATCCTGTTGATGATGACAATTGTAGGAGCAAGAACAATTACGTTGATTATGTCAATTCATGTATAATCTGGAGGATTGGGAACGACCCAAAGTATAGAAGAACGTTCGAGTCTATAGGAATCGGTAGTGTCCCTGCGAGAGCATTGATCCCAAGAAGGTCGGTCAAACCCCATTTGTCAGACAGCCCAATCTTTCAGCCCCCCCCCCCCCCCCCCCCCCCCCAAGCATGGCAGGTTTGCCGAAAGTTGACTTTGTAACGTCGCAGAGAGGTACGCCCCAAGTACTCTTTCAACGTCACCTCTACTGCAAGAACAAGATTAGGAAATTATGTGTTTGCTTGAAATGCGTAATTAAGACGTGTACAGAGAAATGCACGACAGTCGGTGACATTGTGTGGAGTCACGGTGAACACAACCATCCCCCACCTGATGCAACCCATGCCAAGTTCATCAGCACGATGAGGAAACGAGCCTGAGAAGAATCAACCCTACCCATGTCGGCCCTTTCCCAGGACAAAGTGCTCAAGTATGATCTGCAGGGCACACCTTCACTTCCATCATATTCATCTCATGACAGCGCCCTCTACAGCCATAGAAGCCACACCATTCCCGGACTGCCACAGAGCCGTGCAGATGTTCAGCTGGAGGGGAGGTGGAGACAAACTCTGGATGGGACAGGATCTTGCTATTTACGAATGGTGATGAAGACATGATGGCGGTCTTTGCAACTGATGCACAGCTGCGAGCTCCATAGGCAGCAGAAGTTATCTACATGGACAGGACTTGTCAGTCGTTATTTGTAGAATCAACTTTATATCATTCCTGGCAGAGTAGGATTTAGTTATTTAGGTGTAAAAAGACTTTTCCCGCCACGTGTTCATTGTTTCCCGCTCTTTTGAATTTGTGTTACAATTATGTTTGCCTGAAGGGGTAGTCAAATTGTTTACAATTCTCAGCTACGTATGTATAACACATTCATATGTTTTTAAATACTAGTAGCTTTGGCGTTACATAGAGTTTGCTTGTATCAATATTTGTACTCGTAAATATCAACTCGTAAAAATTTGCCAATAGAATATTCTTTAATTCTATGGCAATCTTCAAACTTATGCTTGCGCGTTGTACTAACCTGCTTCTAATTTTCAGGCTCCTGGGACATGATCCCTGTGACGCCGGCACAAGTGTTAGAGCCTACACCGGCGCCTAACGTGCGTTCTGTTACAGCGCATACATCGCTGGGCAGCGCTAGTATGCCAGCGTGTACATGGACATGGGTGCATGACTCCTTATCACCAGAGCAGAAGCCGATCGCCATCTAGGCGTGTGCATCAACATCGCTCTGACTCGTCGAACTTATCAAATGGCAAGGATGGCGATTCCTCTGAGCGCAAGTTCCTGATTGGGTAGCAGATCATCTTGTGTCAGTGGCGCCCTCCCCTGGAAACCGGGTGGATAAGAGGGACACCATATGGTCCCCTCCTATATGGATTCCAACATCCGATGTTGACAGACATGATTAGGTCATTGGACGAGCACTTCTACAAGCTTACACTTGCTCCGTCATTTAAGCCACCCATGCTTAGGAAGGATGATTTACCTATCCATGCGATTGCGGACCAAGCTCATAATTTGCTTTCACAGAAACGGAAATCAGGCGTGTACTGAAACCTTTGTTAGCACTCGCGTCGTCATGACCACATGAGAAACCATATTAAGGCCGATCTGGCGGAGATAACCATCATACGCAGACTTGGTTATTTAGCGCTTTCCAACTGGTACTCTGAGTTCAAGCAAAGGCTGCTACGTCAACCTTGGTCATCTACTTCCCCTGTTGAACAGATTGCAGACACGCACACCAAAGTTTTCAATCATGCTAGGTGGTCACGAGTGGCCCATGTGTCGAAGCTGCCACGATTCGCTGAGCAGAGTAGGGACGCCAGAAACCTATGACTGTGGGTTCAAAACCTCAAGGCTCTTATCCGTCCCGTCGTGGCAAATACCAAGGCAGGGGAGGTGATAAGAGGGGTAAACACTGAAGCGTTGGACAGTCACGTCTGGGAACTCCCGCCACCAGTCGTTCTAATTGTCGATTCCGCCCTAGGCAGGAGACTGAATCTCTTTTGGACGATTCTCAAGGACGATTACGTACTCAACATCTCTGTAATGATAACCGTCTAGACGTAGAGTTAACCCCACTGTTGACCACAGCTCCTCCGCCTTGGAAATACCCAAGAAAGCAACATCTGCTATTAAAAAACAACATAGACATACTGTTGGTGAAAAGAGCTGTAAAGATTGTACACACCCCAGAGTTAACACCAGGGTTTTATTCTCACATCTTCCTGGTACCTGAGAAGTGATCCACAATCTCTCCATGTTCAATGAGCGTTATCTGAAACGTCCACCTTATTTCCGCCTCACCACATTGAGACTGCTCAGAACCAGCATCAATGCATTTAATTCCTTGATCAGTCTACCTGCATATACCTATCCATCCCTCCGACCACAGGTTCCTCAGGTTCCAGTTCAATAGAGTTCACTACCAATGGGCAGTTCTCCCATTTGGCATTTCAGTGGCCCCGTCGCTACTGACACAAATAATGAAGCCCATAACTGCGTTTCTACACCTGAGGAACATTTGGTTCGAGTTGTACATAGAAGACTGTCTCCTGGGTCATCAACACATACTGACGTTAGTACGCCATCGAGAAGTTATCAGACGACTACTGTATCAACAAGGCGAAGTTGGAGTGAACACCATCTTATCTTCTCTAGTTCATAGGAGGCCTGTTCCAGACAGACCAGGATCCCTATCAGACCGAGGTGACAGATGGCTCAAGATTGTACACCTCTTGTCACCTGCACTACACCAAACACACGCTTCATCAATGGCGAGTGTTACTCACTTTGGCACAGGACTTAACCACCAGAGGCCGATTACAACTGCGCCCAATCCAACAATTACTGAACCCTTACATCAGACGTCAGGATCCACTCAAAGCCATCACTCTACTGGTCCATCTTAAGCCTTACCGGTACTTCAATTGGTGGATGGTAGAGTTGAATATCTTAGGAGGAGTCTCTTTATCCGTGTTATCCCCGAAAATACACCTGTTCGTAGACGCCTCCCTTCAGGGCAGGGTTGCCCACCTGCAAGGCCAGACAGCCTCAGGGCTATGGTCCGGCGCTCATCAAAATTGGCACATAAACAATCGTGAGTTGGAAATTCTGGCCATCTCTCATTGGCAGAATCAGCTACAGTTCGCACAGCTTGCAATATCCAAAGACAACAGCACTGTGGTGCATGCGCAGTCAGGGAAAACGCACTACCCCTCCCTTCTTCAAAAGACATTCAGGTTCTTCCATCAAGTCGATCGTCTGGAACTACAATTCATAGTTCAGCACATCCCTGGATGTCGGAACATACTGGCCAATGCATTATCTTGTGGTCCAACCGGCTCATCAACCCTCACAGAAAATTGCCTCGCCCAATACCAGTCTGCACGCTTAAATCTACCAGAGGATTAAATGATGATAAGTGGGGGTCTTTCGAGGCAAGGCAAAAAACCAAGATCTCACAACTGCGTCACCACAGTTCCTAGCCGAATACCTCCTACATTTGTGTATCAAGAAACACTTGAAAGGTAGCACCATTACTACATATTTGGTAACACTTAACTTAAATCGCAAAATGACCAAGGTCCCGGAACTACAGTACCTACTACGCTCTTTCAGGCTTGAGGATCAGAGGGCCAAGTTCCGTCACCCTGCTTGTCTTATATTTTTGTGAGGTGTCTGACAAATGGTGTATGATCAGGACTAATCCATTTTACCACTTGGGTAACAGGCATTGGAGATTGGGAGAACTCAGCCGTGACATTTGTGATTTTAAGGTATCTGACAAATAGGGTGTCTGACAAATGAGGTGAGACCCGAAGTTCTATACCCAAATCGACGATACTGAGAATCGATCCCGAGAGTGGCCAGGCGAACCAGAATGCCGATCCTGAGACAATTGATCCTGAGGCGAGCAATCCTTAGATGAGCGATCCTTACATGAGTGATCCTTAGAGTGTTGATTGTGCGATTGACTTTGTTTTACTCTTGTAAGAAGCGTGAGACCAATCATACTCTGTCGATCCTTAGAGCGCTAATCCTTAGATGAGCATCGATCCTGAGAGCGGCGAACTTCCGATGATCGTGTTGATCCTTGGGGGTGGGCTCATCCTTCTAAAACCAAACCTCCAATCCTAATCGTTAGAGTGCTGATCTTGGTAGAGGGATTCTGTGAACGTTGAATCCTGTGATCGCCGATTCTGAGGACGTCCAGATGAGCCTGAGTGTCGATCCTGTGAAAGAGTCGAGTCGTAGACGATGAGTTTGAGCAACTTCCCTCTTTTGAACTGGAAGATCAAATGAAATCAAAGAAACAGCACCAGAGGACATCTGGGTCATCACTGCAGGTGAAGTGACGCAATCTGAAGCAGAGCATTCAGCAATGTCAGCAATAATACACATTTGCGAAGAAGACTATGAAAGCCTAATCATAGACACCCTGGAACTTACTGTGAAGGGAGGGTTGGAGTGGACAATCCTTGAACAACCAAGACTTCTGTTGCTTAAACCAGGCGCACAGCTCGCGGAACCGATGCCGATATAGACCCCGACGAATCCTCCAGAATAGACTGCTTGTCAAGGGTAGCACGGATGTCATCATCTTCGACAGAGAGCACAGGTAAGGCTGATTCCAGAGGCTTCAAATCCATGGAGGAGACTGACTTCTTAGATTTCTTAGTAGTCATCTTCTTAGCCTTCTTTGTCTTGGGGGGCGGTCGGGTAGCCTAGTGGTTAAAGCGTTCGCTCGTCACGCCGAAGACCCGGGTTCGATTCCAGACATGGGTACAATGTGTGAAGCCCATTTGTAGTGTCCCCCGCCATGATATTGCTGGAATATTGCTAAAAGCAGCGTAAAACCATACTCACTCACTCACTCACTCACTCACTCTTTGTCTTGGAACCCTGGTAAATTTCTCTACGCTGACATTTATGCAGGTAGATACTGAAGGAATCATCAGAGCGATGGATGCAAAGGGGACATTGTGAAGAAGAGCTGCAGTGACCCAGGCAGTCATAACAATGGTTGTGTGGGTCGGATGGTGAAAAAGTCTGCCTGCACACCAAACAAAAGAAACATGTGTTTCTTGTTCATCCATGATATCTTATTTGCGAAGAAACATGACGTGGTTGTTGGGAAGTGTAACCACAAAAATCAAAACAAAACTGTATTCTGTAACACACAACCACAGTAACTCCGTGTGGAATTAGAAAGAGAATGGTTTGGCAAGGGTAGGCATGTAACCTTGGGGTGGATCACAGCGCACAGGATTTCAGTGAATTTAGTTACCAATTGTTTGGGTGGTGACCATGGTGATGCTGGGAAATGTTTGGGTGAATTGTATTTTCAAAGCTGGAAACTTTGTTCAAGCACGTTTCCACATAGGATCGAAATAAGAAAAAAAAATGCATAGTGTATGATAGGATAAGTGTATAAATATACAATTTATTGTAAAATTTACAGTTATGACACATTAGACAGCTTGCCCTACTATATATCATCGCCCATATTCGCCATGTTCACACACACACACATATTACATTCCAGAAGTAGTGTCAATTCACCTTTATACACGCTTTTTCATGGAAACAAATACAAATAGCTTTGTCTGCAAGGACTGTGCATATTTATGATATATCTTTATGATCTATCTTTATGATCTATCTTTTTCGTTTTCACCTAGCATAGAGAAATTCCTCACACCATATGAAGGTTAATGAGGTAGGGCTGGGACAGGTAACTCGGGTACTCGGGTCGGGTGGGTACTGAGTAGGACCCGGGTACCCACAGGACTACCCTGACTCGTTGTTACATGGTTACACGCCAAAATTAAGTCTCTAATGTTCGCATTTCTTCATGACTATGAACACGTTCCTTCTGACTTATATATGTTTGAACAAAGCTAAAACTTTAGTCAACTTCAGTGTATGCATGACCACATCGTTTTATACATGTATCTAAATACATTCTGCCAGGGCTGCTGTCAAACTATTCCCAATAGGACATTCTGTACCTATCTCTTGACACCAACAGCGGGTACCCGGGTAGGGTCGGATAATAGGGGTGTGGGTACCCGGGTAGTAAATTTGGACTCGTCCCAGCCCTATAATGAGGCCAGTTTTTCCAGACTAGGAATCTGACTGGACTTTTTCATACAAAGTAGTTACACAATCAGGCTCTCTTGTTACATTACACCTTCTAGGTGTATGGCAGATGGGGGAATGTGACTAAACTGTTGAGTTTATGTAAGTATGGACCAGTGGTCCCCATTTATCTAAGCTTGGCTGCAGTACTGTAGCTCTGCTTCATTTGGACCAAACACTCATACTTCATTCTTCTGTTGTAGTTGGTGACCATTGTTCCGGGGTTGAAATCAACTGGGAAGACAGGAGGGAAGCTGTTGCGTCGCCCCCAGGTCCCTAAGCCTCTGCCCCCACTGTCTCCGTGTCCCTCTCCTAAAACAGACAGCTGCTTCAGTCCAGGCAAAACCTATGAAGCATACAATGAAGTGGATTCCCTGCGGTGTGACTCACAAGAGATTGATTTTTACCAGTCAATGTCACCAATTCCAAGCGGGGCCCCAAGTCTGGTGTCCCCGCCCCCCTCAGAGTCTGTCCCCACCAGGAGAACATTCAGGATGAACACATACACTTCTCCTGAAAGTCACGGCACATCCTTTATCAGTAGAGATGATCTGAAGTATGTTTTGGATCCTCTTTTTCGAGGTCGCAGCACAGTGGGGACATATATTGATGGAAAAAGACTAACAAAACCTTTCAAACCCCGAGGGCCTGACCCGTTCCCACCCAGAGAACCAAGAACAATTAATGAGGTGTGGTTTGACTGTGAGCCTGATGAGATGAGATACTATCAGCCACCTACATTTACGCTTGATAACTTTTTAAGGCATGTTGCAAGGATGAACCATGTGCCAATGAGGAGAGTTAAAGAAGCTGTGTGTTCTCAGCACAATTATAAAAAACTCACTAAATTACTGGCAGAAACGCACATATACCCACCGGTTCAGCAAACTGTGCATCAAGTGACGTTCACCCCGGAAGGTTAGTACACACGTTGCAGGTAGTCACATATACATCTACATAATGCTGCATCCAGCATTAGTCAAGACTACTACAAGCAGCCACAAGCACGCACGTTGCAGGTAGTCACATATACATCTACATAATGCTGCATCCAGCATTAGTCAAGACTACTACAAGCAGCCACAAGCACGCACGTTGCAGGTAGTCACATATACATCTACATAATGCTCCGTCCAGCATTAGTCAAGACTACTACAAGCAGCCACAAGCACGCACGTTGCAGGTAGTCACATATACATCTACATAATGCTGCATCCAGCATTAGTCAAGACTACTACAAGCAGCCACAAGCGCGCACGTATGCCAAATGTCTTGAAAGTGACGTTAAACTCCATTCATCACAACATTAGGTATTAAATTTGTACAATTTGTGGGAAATAGTTTCATTCATCAAACGATATGAGAAATAGTTTTATGCAGCAGAAAGAATGAGAAATAGTTTTATGCAGCAGACAGGATGAGAAATAGTTTTATGCAGCAGAAAGAATGAGAAATAGTTTTATGCAGCAGACAGGATGAGAAATAGTTTTATGCAGCAGAAAGAATGAGAAATAGTTTTATGCAGCAGACAGGATGAGAAATAGTTTTATGCAGCAGACGGGATGAGAAATAGTTTTATGCAGCAGACAGGATGAGAAATAGTTTTATGCAGCAGTTACATGGTTAATCCGAGTGAATGAGTATCTGCACCTGGCTGTCAACAGGTCAGAATGTGCCTGCATGTGAACCGCGCATCCCCCAGCGCCAACTGTTGTATGAGATGGCAGCAATGATCAAGTCCCACGTACGAGAACTCATCAATACAGAGGTGAAAACAGTCATCAAACAAATGCCAAAGTACAGCCCTTCCTACCAGAGTGACAAAATGCCTCACACAGAAATCATTCTGTATGAAGATGACACTGTTGAGAGACTGAGCTTCATATCCAAGAAGAAAGTGTGAGTAGCACGTGAAGATGTGGGTCTGTGTGGGCCGAGGTTTGCAAGTATGATTGAGGTTGATGGCACCTTAAGAAGGCATCAAACATTACAAGCTGCTCTATTTATCTATTAAAACCACATCTCTTTTCTTGTTTGGAAAAAAGAAAGTGAAAAATGGTTCAGTGGTATCCTACCACATTGCTCCCATTCTGAACCTGTCTTTGAGAGAGGTCACAGCAGGGTAGGCATGTAACTAAAGTTTTCATTCAGCATGTGAATGGAGACCTTAGATTTTTGTGGGAGACGAGTTACTTCATCAAAATATATAAATGACTTACTTCATTTTGTCTTGAGATTTGTCCCAGCTAGTTATTTGCCCACTGAGGCAGCACAGGAGTTGCTGTGCAGAGCTTCTGCTCTCGGGTGTGCCAGTATAGAGTTGTGCTCTCATTCTGATGCTTGATTTTTCAGTGCATGGATGTGGAAATATCATCAAACACCTGATGTCATCAGTTTTTCCTCTCACATTAAACTCACATGCATAATGCTGTGATATAACTGAGAGTATGTTCAAGCAGTGAAACCCAACTTATATCTGATCTGCTTACTTAGAAATTGGCTAAGATGTGCTGGAAATAAACAGATACATTTGGATATGCTCCCTTAATAAAAAAGTTCACTGTGCAGGTATAGTCTCAGGTACCTACCTACATGAGTAGGGCATAATTGCATGCCACATTCAATAGGGAACAAGACATTGATGTGTGGAGTTTGGGAAATATTTATTTTATCATGATTGTTGGTGCATTTTAATGAAATAGGCTGAATGTCATATTTTTAGTGATATATTTGTTCTCATATATTCAAGCGATGGAGAAAAGAATAAGTATTCAATTATATTATAATTTTGAAACTTCTAGTCGAGCTTGTTCTGTGTTTCATGCTTGTGTAAAATATTAAACTATGAACTTTCCAGAGATTCTGAACTGCCAGCCTCGGATGCAGTCTTCCATTCAGCACAGACCCAGTACTTCCAGGGCTCAGGGAGGAGTCGCTCGCCCTTCAGTAAGTCCGTTCACTGGATGGGGCCACTTGGCACTACATGTTTACCTCAAACATGTATCATACATATTTAAAGGTGCTATGCTACCAGAACATATATTTTTCGCCCCTGAAATAATTTTAATGTCTTTTGAATAATAATAATGATAATATGATATTGATTCTTACACATAGTGCTTAAAAGCTAAAAGAGGGGAGCTAACCTCGGTGAGCCAGGCATATAAGATTCAACCTGGGGACATCGCTATCAGAACACAGAAATTTCCACCTTCTATATTAATCAATAAAGTTTGTTGATCAAAAGCAGATGAAATACTTTCATATTCTAGTTAAAGTATAATAATCTAACTCTAAAAAAATTGTTACCTATCTTTACATGTTCAATGTTGAAATATTCTATAACACACATATGTTCTGTTTCAAAGGTGGATCCAGCATCCAAAAGGGTGGGGTCCAAAATATCAAAATGCTCTCTCAGTCAATTTTACTGCCTACAACATACTACAGTTTGTTTTCAAAAGGGCTGGGGAGGGGGAGGTGGCAAGTCTGGACCCCTGGACCCCTGGACCCCCCCCCCCCCCCCTCTGGATCCGCCTATGTGTGTAGTCGTAAATGCTTTTGACCAACTGTAATGCTTTGCTCACAGCTGTGCCGGATGACGGAGTTATCTCCCCTTCAGAACTAGCCATTCTGGACTCTCTGATCAGTGGAGGAACAGCACTCAGCCTCAAGGTGAGAACACAGTTCTGCTGGTGTCATTAGATGTGTCTTTATCACCATAAGTTAATTAGTTTTACTGATAAGTCTAACTCATTAGTCAAATTTACGAATGTAGAAAGATGGATAAAATAGTAACTTGCCTATTTCAAACCCCATCAGTGAGTTTATCTTTTCTGGTTAGAAAAAGAATAACCTCCCGAGTATTGTAAGCTATTTGTCACAGTTTGTTTTACTTTAAGAAGTTGACCTCACTGGTAAATTCTGAACAGTTTGTTTTGCCCTCCTGTTAGGCTTAAAAAAAAGAAAATAATTGGTTCTCAGGCAATGAGTTTTGAAAATATAGAGCGGGTGGGCAGTGGTTTTTTTGTTTGTTTTTTGCTTGTTCAAACTTATATGTAACCAAATAAACAGTTGTGTACCATCAACCTGGGAAAGGCCTCCCTACATATACAAGCATACAAACTTCTATTGCCGCATTACCATAACATGAGATCCACAGTAGAGCTGTACGCATGTAAAGGGAAGTAACTGCATGCTATATTGGATGGCATTTTTTAAAATTATTTGGATTTTAAAAAATAAAAATAAAATGCAAATAAAAGAATTGGCGCCTGACTTTCTGATGATGCCTGATGGTGCCTGAGAACCAAGACTATTATTTTTTTTTAGCCTTAACGTTGGCCTGACTTAGTTATGGCGAAAACTGGATTGTTTATTGCTAAAGACTCTTGTAATATATAAATACATTGTAATATAAGAAAGACAAAATAATGGCATCAATTTCATAACCATGTTACTTACAGCACCTTACGGGGCGGTCGGCTAGCCTAGTGGTTAAAGCGTTCGCTCGTCACGCCAAAGACCCGGGTTCGATTCCCGACATGGGTACAATGTGCGAAGCCCATTTCGGTGTCCCCCGCCGTGATAATGCTGGAATATTGCTAAAAGCGGCGTAAAACCAAACTCACTCACTCACTACAGCACCTTACACATGCTGAAGACATTCAGATGCTTGTACATGGAAGCTTGCATGTTGTAGGCCCACTTCATATCAGAAGTGCCCGATGTGACACCTTTAGTGAAGACTGTCACCTACCTCAACCTGTCCTTCAATGACTTCAGAGTGGGTATCTTGCAATATCTGTTGGTCACAATTTAACACATGATTGATTTAGTGCCTTACACATTGACTTTGGTACTGCTTGTGATCGATGCATCTGGAGGGAAGTGGGTGCAAGTGATGTGTTAGCATCTAACTAAATGTTGTACCCTGTTGGATGCTGTTGAAATGTTTGCACTGTAAGTGAAGTATCTATACACCTGGAATTTAATTAAGCACCACTCATATTTTCAATTTACTTTTCATGAAGAAAACAAGGGTTTGCATTGGAACAATGACATTTTCTCAGTATTGCTGGCATTTTGAAGAAAGACGTTAGATTCACCAAGAACAATGTGGAAATTACTGTTGTCACTCAGTAAATACTGAACTGCTTCAAACCAGTCTGTATCAACAGGATCCTAAACCAATATCAGTAGATGCACGAAACACAGTTCTCGTCAATACGTGGTGTAACCACCCTACACACAAACGACTGCCGCCAGACGCCTCCTCATTCCAGGAATCAGACGTGGCACTTGACATTGAGGTTTTCTACCCCATTCTGCATGAAAAGCAGCAGCAAGTTCACATAAATTGTGGACGGGTGGCTCTGTCTGTCAAACTTGACAGCCTAAAATGTTCAATTGGGTTGAGATTGAGACTTCGTGCTGGCCAAGGAAGTGTCTTTATGGCATTCTGACGCAAGCATTCCTGTACAGAATGTGATTTGTGATACCTAGCATTATCACCCATGAACATGAACACAGGTCTATTGGCCAATGCATAATTGTCAAAATGGGGAAGGGGTGGGGTGGGGGGGAGGTGATACCTGCCATCTCCAGGATGTTATGCTGATATCGAGGTCCATTCAGATTACCCTGCACATTGATCAAGTGAAGTTTACAATTGAATGAAACACATCCCATCTACATTACCAATCCCTCACCACATGGATGGAATGTTAGAATGTTTTGTGCAGCCATGGCACATGTAAAAGTCCAGTTTCCTCCCTTGTCGGCTTGATTGCGCCACCAGTGGCTATAACAAGTTCTGTCCTTTTTATTGCCCTCCTATTGACCAATCCTCATTTCGTATCACTTGCATTTGCTTCAAACCAAATGGCAGCGCCCAATCAAGACAACCTGATTGATAATCAAGATCTATATTGTAAAAAAATTAGACTTACTTCGCGAAGTGCATGAAATCACGTGAGCACCTTGATTAAAAACATGAAAATACTTTGGAAATATCTGTTAACGCCGAGTTAGCAGTACACATGCTTTACAAAACCTGCAATCAGCCAAAATGTGCATGGCTGTTGACGAACCGGATATCAATTTCGTTAACCGATTTTGATTGGACTATGCATAGACTTGTTAGTCCAGCCAAAATATAACTCCATATTTCCAGCCTAGTTCGGCAAGGGTGGAAACTGGACTTACAGTCAGTTAACTCCCTTGCCTCGGGAAGATGTGGCTGTATTTGCCTGCCTCCAGACACGTGTATGGCATCTACCACATGTATAACAGAAACTGACTCTCATCAGGAAAAGGGACTCTTCGATATGATGCAGTATTCCAGTTCAGATGTCGATAAGACCATATGAAACAAGCCACTTTATGGGCCTGAGTTAACAAGGGATGTTAGATTGGTCTTCTGGCTCTGTATCCAGCTGTTTTTGGACAATTTCTGATGGTTCTGGTTGAAATAGCTTTGCCTGGTAGCGACTGTACTGTTGTCAAATTGATGTCATCTTAAGAGCGTTAATAATGCTGTATCTTCTCTCCTGGATGCCTTGCTAGGCTGACCTGGGCATGGCTGTCGTTAACTTCATTTGTTTTTCGGTATTTCTGCAGTAATCTTAAAATTACAGTATGGGGACGTCCAAGTTGATGTCCAATTTCCTTACTAGACATTCTTGCATTTTTTATTCCAGTAATCCCACTAACCCCTGGATCCATTCCCATGGTTCTCGCAATCTCAAATTACCCGCCCTTGATTTTTGCCAGTTTGATACTAGCTATACTAGGTCTAACGTACCAATTATGTTGGGTTGGCCAGTCCCATTTATTATGAGTTTGAGGTAGATTCAATTGAGAGAGATTCAATTTGAAAAATAATTGACATGCAAAAGAAAGCCCTCTAAAAAAATTTTGATGGAAAGGATGTCTTTTGGTCCATCAAAACTGGGGTGTCTTTGGTTTTTAGGTAATACAAGTCACCTCTCTTACCCTTTCCCTTTCCCCTTATGTCCATGTTTGATTTTTGGTTAAATTGAAAAACAGATGTGTGTAATTTGAGATTGCGAGAACCATGGGAATGAATGGATCCAGGGATTAGTGTAGGTTTACCGAAATGCTATCCCTGGTGGCATCGAGGATGGTGCTTTACATGCAGTGTGAGCAACAACAAGACCATTGACAGTGGTATTAGCAATGGTGTGGGAAGAGGGCCATCCTACCTAATATATGGATACAACTTAACTATTTTCCAAACTTTTAATTCTGTGTCATTTTGATTTTGGTGGTGCTTGATTAATTTCCAGGTGTTACCGTTATGTTGTCTATACCTTGTAGGATGCTCTGAAACACTCTGCTTGGTGTGGAATGTAATCTGGTGGTTTCTGTTGAAGGGCTTGCCCCTGGAGGTTCTGGAGATGAGTGAGTTAGAAGTGCTGAAACTGAGGAATAACCCCCTGATAGAGCTTCCCCCAGACATTAACAAGCTGGGCAAACTGAGGACATTAGTCGTGTCCTTCTGTCTCATGTCCTCCCTGCCCATCAGGTATGTTGTACCCCAGGGTAGTGTAATGACAGTCATCCTTCACAGCCTGTTTCTTGTACAGATCTAGAAGGAACTGTGTCTAATTCAATCCTACTTCCTAAAGCAAATCCAACATTCTTAAAAGTCGGCCAGCAGAGATAAGTTTTGTGATAACTCCAACTCTTGCTATGCTAATGAACTTAGAAATGTATTCCTGATTTACATGCAACTGTAATTATTAAAAATACTTAAGTTTTGTGCTACCATTTCAATTAAGTTGTTTGACCATTTCAATGGGAAATATATATGTTTGGGTAAGTCATGGTTATTGAAACAGAACAACAAAAACCGGGGATAATAATAAGGCAGACAACTACTTTTTATGTTGTCTACATTTTCTTTGCATTCAGCCTCTTTGACATGACATCCATAGAACATCTTGATATCTCCTACAACAGAATCACCTTCATTCCAAATGAAATCTGCAAACTAAGGTAACAGTAGCTTTTATTTTCACTTCTAATGAAACATTGTAGTTAGTTTCTACCTAATACAACATCACTGCACTCTATTTCTATGCTCTTTTGTTCCCTGGTGATGTCTATGTTGGAACAAGAATTTTGGTTTGGTAGATTTGTGTTTATAATAATTTGAAGGAAAGTGTACAGCTTTGTTTAACTGTTTTAAATGTCCTATATGTCTGTGAACAGAAAACTACTGGAGTTGAATGTGGAGGGGAACCAGCTCCCTGCGCTGCCAGGATCTGCCTGTCGCCTTAGTCTACGCTCTGTCAATGTCAGGAACAACCTCATGCACCCACTCTTCTGGCGGGATAGCACCAAGAACCAACCACAGGTACCTTCACAACACAGTGGGACGTCAGACCTATATTGTTGGACAACATGAGGGAGATACAGACTATAGAGTGACAACAAGAGGGAGATACAGACTATAGAGTGACAACAAGAGGGAGATACAGACTATAGTGGGGCAACATGAGGGATATACAGACTATAGTGGGGCAACATGAGGGAGATACAGACTATAGAGTGACAACAAGAGGGAGATACAGACTATAGTGGAGTAGTATAGGTAATAGGGGTTCTGGACCACTTCCACTGGAGCAGGATTCATATACCTATACTGCTACTACAGGAGGAATTTTTTATGCCAAAATGATGATGCGATTTAATGATAGTCATGAGATTCAGTTAAATTGGCTCTAGCTCACCAATACCTGGGGCCAATCATTGCTTCTATTAGTGATGTGATTCAACGAAAGTCGTTTTAAAAGAAATATCAATATTAATTAATAATGGATAAAATATACTATAGCCCACGAGGATATTGGAAAGGTTTAGGAGCAATAAAAAAATTAGCCACCGCGGCTAAGGTATCTCAAGATGTGGCCAAGGATTGGTTAAAGAAACAAGCGATGTGGCAGATATATTTACCGGCACCGCGTTATATACCGAGGAAGAAGTTTGATATTTTTACAACGAATGAAGTTCATCAGGCTGACCTCTTGTTTCTTCCCCATGATAAGGTAAAACGCAAAACGTACAAATACGCTTTAACGGTAGTGGATGTGGCTAGTCGATACAAAGAGGCTGAGCCATTAACATCGAAAGAATCAACAGAGGTAGCTAATGCACTGAGTCGCATATATAAACGTGGACCGCTAAAATGGCCTAAGCTATTTCAAGTAGATCCCGGTCGCGAGTTTATGGGATCGGTAACTAAACTGTTAACAAAGAACGATGTCAAAATCGTCCGTGGTGAAAGAGAGGCCCACCGCAGTCAAGCTATCGTCGAAAGATTTAACCGGACATTAGCGGAACGTTTGTTTGGCTATCAGTATGGGATCGAAATGAAATCCGAGCAATTGAGATCAACCGAATGGGTGACACGATTATCAGCCGTTGTATCAGCGCTGAATAATGAAGTAACGAGATTAATAGGGAAGAAACCATCCGATGCTATTAAAATGAAATCAGTGACTTCCGAATCTTCAGCACCGAGGAGAGGCAAAGAACGAAAACTTCCGGATAGAGTAAGGGTAAGATATTTATACCAGCCCGGTGAACTCGAAGGAGGCCTACGTCGCGCAACCGATCCCATATGGTCCCTTAAGACGTATAACATTAGTCGATTGGTTACGAAAGAAGGAGAGCCTATTCTTTATTATCTTCAAGATGGACCGGGTAGGGCATTTGTACGAGAAGAGTTGTTCATAGTTCCCGACGGTACGGTATTACCACCATAACCATAAGCATAGGTATTTACACCATCATTATCAATCCATCTCTTTGTATCTAAGGGGGATAATGATGTCTTGTTCATTCTTAATCCATATATCCTATGATCGTAACTTCTTAAAGAGTTCATCTCGTGTTTGAACGTTCTACCGTTGAATAATGATTCTTTATACTGTTCGTGTTTGATATGCTTTTTTACAACATACTTCTTAACGCCCTTAGCTTTTCTTATCTCTCCATTATCGGACTTCTTTATAGAATACATCTTAGGTCTTAATCCCACATACTCCGCTATAGGGGTCCCAGCACATTCATCCTTCATCTTACCTAATACCTTTTTATTTACTACGCTGTGCAGTGGATTATCTTTAGGATAATCGCTCGTGTCGTACATATCTATTTTTTCTGCCATATCTTTATACACATCCTCGGTTTGTATTTCCATCAACAAAGAATCTGTGTCGGTATATAACACCTCGCATCTATCGCCGTATTGCTTCTTAAGTTCGTTGTAATAAAAGTCATACATTAAATGTTTTGACAAGTCGAGAATACTCATACCGACGTACACCGGTCTGTTGAATTTTATATTACTCTTCTGAATATGCAACGCGGCTAAGTCGTTATCGAATATCTTGCTTCTGTTAAAAGCCGGACTGGCTATAAGTTTCCTGAGTCTTTCTTCCTCATTAGATCTGACTAATTTAACATCAACACGCTTCCTTAGATTCTCCATAGTTTTACCAAATACTGAGTTATTCATGAGCTTATACAGATTCTTTTCGAAATCGCTGGTAGCTATCTTTCTTAAATCTGTGTTCAACCTTATATAGGGCTCCATCCAAGGGCTTTGATCGAACTTTAGAACTCTGTGTATTTTCTTAAGTTTCATACCTAACGATAGATACAACTGGAGATTTCTGTAGTGAACTATATATTTTGTTTTATCCATCAAATTTGGTACGAGTTTTTCTATGTTAGCTAACCTACTATTACCCATCAAGGAGCGTTGATATTCCGACATCCAATCTTTATTAACCATTAATCTTTCGGGAGCTAGCGGATAACTGTTATGGTCTTTATGTAACGAACTTGGATATTCCAAGTCAACTTCTAGTATGTACCCTTTATTCACATCATTATTATGAATATTATGGATATCATTCACTTCGATATCATCGACCCATTCAAAACCACCCGTAGGTAAAGGTTGACTCATAGCCCATCCGTACAAATTGTTGGCGTCGAGATATAATATGTGCGTGTCGGGTTTACTAGGATCGTATCCTTCCACTAATTTATTATTAGCCTTAGAATACCTTTTAGCTGCCATCGATATACCACCTCTTAATCCTTTCTCAATAAACAAGTGCATATCGTAATCTGTTAGCAATTTTAGTTCTACGCCGGTCTTCTTCAACAATGCATCCCACGATAGTCCGGGACTGGAATAGTACCATGCCGGGTCCAAGCCATATTGTTTGAAACATGTCTTTCTAAATATCTCGAATATATCGGCGAGTAACAGTACATCGGTTTTTAAGTACAGATCGTGATAATCGCCTAAATTCTTACAACCTAATTTATCCCAGACCGTCAGAGCGTGTTCATAATCGGCATCTGTTATTCTAGATTCTGTTAAGTTACTATAGAATGATTCGAGGGGTGGTAATTCAGTTTCTTCGAATCTAGACCAATCATCCATATATTCGTAAGGATATACACCTTTTCTCAGCAACAAATGACGTGTTATCTTATCAGTATATTGATTTGTTATCGCGAAGTCATCGGGATTGTTCGCATTAGCTAAATTGTCCAGGGAAGATAACAGAAACTGTACGGAGTCTATGAATCTAAGCCCATTACTTTGCTTTGTTCTAGATTTCCCATCCTTGTCCCTATAATGTATAGGTTTAGTCAACGAGAACGATATGTATTTTTCCATATTGTTAGGAATGCACGTTAAACCACCGTCGGTCTTCGAGATAGCTTGCATAATGAGATGTGAATCGTATCCCCTAAGGTTATGAAACACAACGGGGATGGGTATTGTTTGAGAGTTCATTTTTAGTTTCAAGTTGCACTCGTTATGAGAGGCTCCCCGATAATTACCCGTGACGTGACAATGATCTCTTACGGAATCCCCATCCAGGGGTTTATTACAAATGTGACAACTCGTTGACTTCTTATAGGCACTCCAATCATCCCTCGTCATACGCATGGGTATCTTACACGATAGTTTTTCCCTGATTATTCTCTCTTCATTTTGTAGATATTCTAGGAACTTTCCCGCTGCATCGGGACCTCTGTAAATCACGGGAGTGTTTGTTTTCCCATCATACCTTACAACTATATATCCAAACCCACAAGGAATATGTTCTTGAGTTTTGTACGTAAAACTATTATCTTGATTATTATGGTTGGTATTTTCTATGGGTTTGATAAGCGCTTCGAAGTCGGCGTAAATTACGTACGGTACTGGCATTTGATTACAATAATGTTCAAATTTTAACATATTTTTTTCCCTCTTTAGGCATATCGATCCTGATAGCATTCTGTCCAACACCTCTACAGTCTTCTTTATGCGCTTCTAATAGATCTTGTCTGCTGTACCCATGCAGGCATCTTTCGCAGAAATATTTCTTTCCCTTATATTTAGTTTGATCGTATAGCAGCCTGTTTAAACTCTTTATCCACGTATAATGATATTTACCATCTTTTTCGATCAGAAATGAATTGATTCTGGGAATATTTTCCGGAGCGGAGCTTATCCTGTGTACAACAATTCCTTTAGAATGTCCAAAAACATTTATAGCTAAATTATTTTGCTTTTCCACCTTATCAATTTGTGATATTGGTGTAGGTTCGTCTATACCATCGAAGTTGAGTCCATCGTTTTGAGGATAGCTAGAAGGTCTATCTGGATGCTTGTCTACGGGGAACAATGCAGATCTTATCATCATTCTTAAACAGTCATCGGATTTATTTTTTACGTTAATTATGGCTTTTTTCTTCTTATAATACGGAGGTAAATCTATATAAGATCCACCTTTGAAGGGCATATAATTTGCTATATCTAAATATAAACTATCGATTTTATCAACACCCCAACCCGAACCTCTATTAGTCCAGCGTTCTAAAGTTTCCTGTATCCTCTGAATTGATGTATCTAATGATGAATTTATAGTATCGGATTCGGTTATAACTTCTTGATTGCTACGGAAATATGGTTCGGTATATTCGGTGCTATCGTCTGTGTTACTTTTACTCAATGTCATTTTAATCGTCAGCTGGTATTTTATACTATGTAAATCATCTAATTCCTCGTTAATTTTACTCGATATGATGGGCTTAATATCGTTAACATCCATGTTGGAATAAATATCCATCTTCCAACCTCTTAGATATTTACCAACGCCGGCGGATGTGGGTACAAATATTAATTCTTGTTGTTGATTATCATCATCATTATTAGGTTGAATATCATTATCAATAGGTTGATTATTATCTAGTAAAGCGATCAATTCAGCTCTTCTCATTCGAGAATAACCTCTCAGCCCACCGTTTCTCGCTCGAACTTTGAGTTCTCTAACAGTC